TTGGCCAGATGTAGTATTTTAATTATGTTCTATTTGTTATTCTAAAGAGACTTTGTCCCAGAATAAAGTTATTTTCTATTTCTATTTCTATAATGTAAGCGAGGGAAATGTTCAGCATTTTGTCTTCTTTGTAATGGGCTATTATTTATAAGTTATTCTATACAATATTTCTAAAAGGGTTTTTTTTTGTCGGTACGCAATAACATAACTTGTTGACGAAGATCGGGTTTGCACCATTTCGTGTAGCACACAGAAGCCTAGATTTCTATTAATTTTTGTGTAGATTAGTGAAGCCTTTCTAAAGTTATCACAATTTTGTGGTCGTTGACGAAATTTCTAATGCCTAGGCAATTTCAAACCGAAAATTTTTATTTTTCGATTGCTACAAAATTCATATTTAAGAAGCCTAGATTCCTATTAATTTTTGTGTGGATTAATGAAGCCTTTCTAAAGTTATCACAATTTTGTGGTCGTTGACGAAATTTCTAATGCCTAGGCAATTTCAAACCGAAAATTTTTATTTTTCGATTGCTACAAAATTCATATTTAAGAGCTTTTTGACATGCGAAAAACGAATATCAGCTTTGTTTCTCCCTAATCCCTAATCGATATTAAGTAAATATTGAAAAAAAAGAACCCGAAAAGTAAATAAATCAATTACAATCTGTGCGCCGTCCGCGGCATTCCTCCGAGATTACTGAACCCATTTTTTCATATTTTTAATCAAACTCAACGGTTCCCGGTCCTCCTATCTTGAAATTAGCAGCTGCCGTTTCCTTTCAAGATGGAGGCAAAAAAACATGTCAAAAAAACAAGACATTAGTGCCTAAACGAATGTATCGATTTCAAAGTTTTCTTAGTCTTCTTCGAAGACTTTTAAATTTATCCATCTGACATAGCTCACTGAAAAAATGCAGGAACAAAGTTAGCGTTTCCAAATAACTCAGAAAGTATACACTTTTAATGATGTTGTATATGATCTCTTAAATATTAGAAATTTCCAAGAGAAAAAAAAAATCGTTGAAATCGGATGATTTAGCGGAAAGCAATTATTTTCTATATTTCTTACACAATTATTGAATATAAAAAAAAAAACAAAAAAAACTAAGGTGTGTGCTTTAGACCACACTACAGAAGTGAAAACATCAAAACGGCCAGCTCATATATGATGATCATTATATAGATGAGGAAGTACTGAACATTTCTCTCGCTTACATTATACAGAACCGATTTTTAGTTTCTGAGATATTTTAATCTATATCTTCAATATAACTTGTTATCATTTGGTATTCGATGCTAGTTTTTCATTTTCGCCTCTGAGATCTAACACGGCGTCGCGTTAAGATTCAATTTTAAATAATAGTCCATTACAAAGAGAATAAAATTCTGAATATTTCTCTCGCATACAGTATGCATGTCCGATTTTTAGTTATGAGATGGGCGAACATTGCTATCTGCACTTAATTCCCATCGCAGCAACATCATCAGGGGGCCAGTTAACTGGAACCTTTTCCGTCAAATACTGGAAGATAATATAGACCTCAGAGTTTCCTTAAAAACACCTGAAGACCTCGACGATGCAGTTCGTTCCTTCACTACCCTGATCCAGCAAGCAGCTTGGATTGCATCCTCACCTGATCGTCCCAAAAAATACCACAACATAAATCCTTTACCTCAAGACCTACTGGACCTTATCCATAACAAACGTTGCTCTAGGACCCTTTGCCAAAGAACCAGGCATCCTGATGACCGGATATTGTATAATTATTATTCCAAACAGGTAAAAAAGAAACTGGAAACTTTTAGAACCCAATCCTACAATTCCTACCTCTCCTCATTATCCGCTAGTGATAACTCCCTCTGGAATGTAACCAAAAAAACCCTTAAATTCCAGTCCATTTCCCATCCACTTCGCTGTGATGATGGTTCCAGGGCTTCGTCAGATGCGAATAGAGCAGAAGAGTTTGCTAAACATCTATTCTACACATTCATCCCTCATCCCGAACTCCATCCCACCCACACTGCTGAAATTGAAGAATTCCTCTCTTCACCAATTCTGTACCTCCAAAACCTGTTAATCCCTCTGAGGTCAAATTCCTTATAAACAAATTAAAACCCCAAAAATCCCCTGGATACGATCTCCTCACTTCACAAATCCTCAGACAACTTCCCAAAAAAACAATCATATTCCTTACCTATCTATACAACTGCATCCTTCGTACCACCAACTTTCCTTTGGTGTGGAAACACTCCATAATCCTCCTGTTTCCAAAACCAGGTAAACCTGTTAATAACACATCGTCCTATAGACCGATAAGCTTACTCCCGATCCTCTCAAAAATCTTTGAGAAAATCCTCCTCAAACGCATCCTACCCATAATCGAATCCCACAACATCCCTTCTCATCAGTTTGGATTCCGCTCAAGACATTCCACTGTCCAACAAGGCCTTCTTGTTGTGGACCATATATCCTCTGCACTTGAAAACAAGCATTATTGCACTGGTGCCTTTCTGGACGTAGCGCAAGCTTTCGACCGGGTGTGGCACGATGGCTTGCTTTTCAAGCTCAAAACCCATTTACCCCAATCCTTATACCTAGTCCTCAAATCCTACCTCTCAAATCGTTCCTTTCAAGTCCGTTGTGACACCGCATTCTCCACTTACTATCCGGTTGAGGCTGGTGTTCCACAAGGCAGTGTCTTGGGCCCAGTTCTCTATATCCTCTTCACTTCCGATATCCCTTCAAATCCCGATACATTTCTAGCTACATTTGCTGATGATACTGCCATTCTATCCTCCCACTCAGATCCTCAAATAGCATCCCTAAACCTACAATCTCACCTCTCCTTGATTGAGCATTTGTGCAACAACTGGCGCATCAAAATCAATGAATCAAAATGCAAACATATCACTTTTACCCTGCAACGCAGATCCTGTACGCCAATCCTTTTTAATTCAATTCCACTTCCCTACTCAGACACAGTCCGTTACCTTGGCTTCCTTCTTGACAAAACACTAACTTCGAACCCACATACCAGACTTAAAAGACAAGAAATTAACCGTCGATATGGCCAGCTGTATAAATTACTAAGTAGGACCTCCCATCTTTCTATTGAAAATAAACTTTTAATTTACAAGACCATACTGAAACCTATCTGGACCTACGGACTTGAACTGTGGGGAACTGCTAAACATTCGAATATCAAACGCATCCAATCCTTCCAGTCCAAAGTACTTAGAACAATAGTCAATGCCCCATATTATGTCACAAACAAGACCCTACACCATGACCTTAACATCCCACTTGTACTCGACATCATCCCATCCAGATTCTCAAATTTTCACCAGAACCTTATCCATCATCCAAATCCTCTAGCTCAATCCCTATCTAGCTCCCTTCATCCCTACAATCCTCCACGAAGGTTAAAACGGCAGTGGCCCAGAGATCTCTAGTAAATATGCTTCTGGAGTCCTGGCAATGACCAGCATCTTCACTCATGTCCTGAGCGTCTGTGGCTCTAGTGCCCTCTTTCAGTCTCCACTGGCTTCTGGGTGGCAAAAGTGGCACTGGGATCTCCTGGAGTCTCTCTTTGCCTTCCACGTGTGGGGGAAAAAGCCTGGCTCGGAGATTCCTGGGCGAATGTATATATTGTATATAGGTATGATTGGGTTTAGAAGTTTCTATTTTATGTTATTTGTTTACTTTTTTTTTCTTTTATTTACTTTATTCATCAGTATTATTTATTTACTTTTTATATTTATATTTATTTCTATATTATGTGTATATATTGTATGAATGAGAACTCTTAGCCCTAATACTTATAGCCCTCCAGCACTGGCTGATTGTATTATTATTCAATAAATAGATTTAAAAAAAAAGTTTATGAGATATTTTAATCCATATGCAAAAACACTTCAATTAGTTGACTTCCGCCGACTTTACCCGAGCGTTAAATATCGAAGATCTGACGGCCAGTCTAATTCACTCTCAAAAAAAAAAAAAAAAAAATCAAAATTTGGCTAAAGAAGTTTTCACTGAGGCAATAGAGTTTTTTTATACAAATTATTGATGATAAAAAAAATATATATCATTCAGTCCAATTCGAGCAATCACATTTTATTTACTTTCCTCTAATTGATATAAAAAGAAGTATTACATTAATAAATTTTTGAAAATGATAATGTCTGTAATAATTTGCAGCGTTTTTAATGTAAGTTGTCTCGAACATTTTTTTTTTTTTTTTTTTTAGCTCTCTTTTTATTGAGAAAAAATACATTTTAGCTATATTAAGGGCATTTTATTAGTGCTGTATGAGACTCATTTATACTCTATATACAATAACAAAAAAAAAAAGACAAATTACAACAAAACAAAAAAAAAAATCATAATAGAACAAAATAAATGAAACGTGAGACAACACTAAATAAAAATATAAAAACACATTCATAATTATTAACAATATTTACAGTTAGTCGAGAGAGCTCCAGGTCAGGCCAGTTTCCCCTATGTGTATGGAATAAGGCAAGACCCTAAGAGATCCCAGCGCTTCTCTTTCAGTCGCATCACTGAGAAGGGAATCCAATGAAGACTGATAGAAGGCAATAAATAAAGCCAAATACGCTCATGACTTGAGTGGATAAGCTGGCCATTATCAGGATTACAGTGGCGTATTTACAAAAGATCTCGAGGCAACTGCCGTTTCAACCTTCGAGGACGATTGTAGGAATGACTGGATTGTGCTAAGGGATTAGGGTGGTGTTTTAGGTTCTAATGGAAATATGAGAATCGGGATGTCATATTCATGATGTAGAGTTTTGTTTGTAATATAGTGAGGAGTATTAACTTTGTACGAAGTTTAGACTGGAGGGATTGGATGCGTTTAATGGAAATTTAGCTGTCTTCAGGTTCAAGACCGTAGGTCCAGATGGGAAAACTCGAACAAATGGTTGAATTTTTGGCTTTTTGTTTTGAAATATTTTCTAATAATTTCAGAACTTACCGATAAGTAAACTAGATCTCTCTCCATCAGATCGACAAATTTGTTGATGAGGATCCCCCGCTTGGATGCGTCCATCTTCCTCCAAGGAGCGCCTAGCTTGAAGGCTTCCCTCGCAGCCTGGACGGCTCTGTCAACATCTTCCTGAAAAAGGATTTCAGAAGCAGTTCGTCATTAGATGTTAAATTTCATTTCGATATAGTTTTTTAAACATTTTAGTTACTAAAATTTTATTATGTTATAAGATGTGTAAAGCAAGTCGTCCATTATGGCATAAAAAACAAAAACACATATATGTAGAAAAAAAAATTATATCGCTGTAGACATCTCACGAAGCAATCCAAAAACATACTGAAGTAAAGAGAAGGCTTCAATAAGTTAATGTAGGTTATATGGAACAGCTGATTAGCAAGCATACAAAGAGAGAGAGAGATAAAAATCATACAGAACTAAAATATGATCATGCTAAACGTGTTAAATTAAATTAGATTAAAATAATACTTAAAGGTATAACATGCCAACATTTCGCTAATGCAGGCATTTTATAGGTGAATCTCCACACCACACATTTCTGAGTGAGCGAAAATGATAGTTTTATAGACCTTGTATGTATCTTCAAGCATTCTTTTTTCAATTTGTTTAGTTTTGCGTTGTTTTTTTTCTTTTTCTATTCTTGCTAATCAGCTGTTCAATATAACCTTTCTTAAATATGTTAATACAACCATCTCTTTACATCAGTATGCTTTTGATGACTTCGATAGTATGGTTTTTTTTCTTTCTGTGTATATATATATATATATTTTTTTTTTCTGTATATATATATTTTTTTTGTCTTTATATACACACACACACACACACACACACACACACACACATATATATATATATATATATATATATATATATATATATATTATATATATATATATATATATATATATATATATCTGGTTTTTTGGACAAGATTATATATACCCGACTACCGTCTACCGTTCCAGTCAATGGCTCATTGTCTTCAAGGAAACCTCCAAACGCTCTGAACGAGATTCAAAATGGGGTTACGATTATCACAATATTGCTCTTTCAGATGAAATCTGAAAGAGCAATATTGTGAAGAAATCGAAATGGGTAATTTTTAAAGCTCGATAGTTTTTTTCCTGTTGGGTTTAGAGAAACATGTTATATACAAAAACGTTAGATATTTTTAAACTGTTTAAGACAGGATATAACCATTTTTATCTACTTTGAACTAAAAAGTAAATATTTAACGTAAACCAAAAAAATTAGGAAATTCCGATGGTTTTTGAAGCACTGCAGCAAACCCACAAGGCTTGAATTTTATATAATCACTAAATAACAATACAAATATAAAAAATAAATTTGAATTACCCAACCTTTTGCAAGATTGCATGTCTAATTTGACTGGGCTATTTATAATGTTAAAATCAAACCTTTGTTAGTCACAGAATTATTTCCCTTCCTCGTATATTTTTATTTTACATTACAAAATTAAATAGGGACAAGATAATAAAATAAAAATTTAAATATTTAATCACACGTGTGTATTGATATTTGAACATCACCTAATATACCACAAAATGTATAATTTACGCAGGAAAATCAAAATCGTTTAATTTAGGTCAATAGTGAAACTTATAATTTCGCACATTATCAAATTTAATGTGTTATTCTACAGATCGCGAATAGATAATCAGGTTTAAAGTTTTTACAGGCAAGTGAAAAAATTGTGCCATAACATGAAAATCTCTAGTTATAATGTAGCCAATTGAAATGGTGAGGAAGGTTTTTTTTTTTTTGGGTGATATAAAACGAAACTACTTACTTTTCCACCTTTCTGTATCTCTGTAATGACTTCTCCGGTCGTGGGGTTGACAGCTTTAAATGTTTTTCCAGAGAGTGCATCAACCCATTCATTGTTGATAAAGAGCTGTAAAAAGAGAGAAAAGTGTTAAATAAATTGAGTATCATTTTAAGTGAATTTTTCCCATTGTAATGTTCATTCTGATAATTTAACTACTGTTCCGAATGACATATTCAGAGACAGTTTAAACCTTAGGTTGGAGCAACCGGGGTAATTGGTACACGGCAACCCGAGGTTCAGATCTTCAAGAGCGCTCCCCACTTGTAAAAAAAAAAGAAGAAAAAATCTAGTGCGTCCACTCACACGACTTTCCTACTTATTTCAGAAAAATATTTATATCTTTACATATGTCCATCAAGAAACAAAAGAAAAAAATTGAATTAGATTTATTTTCCTGAAAATTGAAGAAAAGATTTGAGTACGATTTATTTGATAAACTAAAGCAATGTAAACCAGCTTAAAGTAGATCAGCTTAGAAATTTCAATACCCTCTAATATTAATGACCAAAAATTTTTTGTCATAGCATAATTTTGTCAAACAATAATTTCTGGTAAAAGTAGAGGAAATAGTGAAGCTTGTGTGATGAGGACAACAGATTTCCTTACTTTTACTTAGTTATTTTTTTTTCTCATTTATTTTCCTTTCTGATACCAGGACATGAACTCGTAATCTTACATTGGAAATTGAATAGCTGTAACTTCGTTAATAGTTGTCCGAAATGAACGATTTTTATATTGTTTTGTAGAGAATTTCATCGAAAAACGCCGTTTAGCCTTGTAAGTACTGAATGAGAAAAAAAAGATAACTAAGTGAAAGTTAGCTATAGACAGACAGACAGACCAATGACTAAAAATGTGTTTTTCGGACTCAGGGGCTCTGATACGTATAGATCCTTCGAAAACAGCATATCGGAAATTTGACCCGATCGCAATAATTTCCTTACCTAGCATAGGTAGAAAAGTAATAAACTATTAACGAAGTTAATAGTCGGACTATTAACGAAGTTACAGTTATTCAATTACCAATGTAAGATTACGGGTTCATATCCTAGTAACAGAAAGAGGTGAATGAGAGCAAAACGATAACCAAGTGAAAGTTAGCTGTAGACAGACAGACATACCAATAGCTAAAATGTGTTTTTTCGGACTCAGGAGACTCTGAAAGGTATAGATTGCTCTGATGCTGTCGAAAACAGCATATTGGAAATTTGATCCGATCACAATACTTTCCTTACCTATTATAGTTAGAAAAGTAATGAATTAAAACGTGTAGAAAATAGAATAAGCTTTATCATCGGTAATACTGGTTCGATTCCGAAGTTTTTTTTTTTTTTGTTTTGTTGCTAGTTTTGTTACCTTTCAAAAGTTTTATTATAAATTTTACCATATAATATATACTTAGCGAGTTAGGCCCCAAAACATTTTTCTTTTCTTTATAACTTTTTTCCTGAATTTTCCCGGGAATTTAGCACACGTGAGACAGTTGAAAGGGCATTAATTAAAAAAATATTAACAAGTTTAAAATATCAAATTTTAATACTTGTTTTTCTTATAGGATTTTATTCCCGGTTCATATTAAATCATTTATAACTTCTCAGGATTTTTTCTAAAAGACTCTTCTTACATTTTTGACGAGCGCAACTTTGATGTAGAAGAATTTTTAAGAACATTTTTATGAATTTCAACCTTATTTATCGATATAAAAAACACATTAAGTGTATAAAAATCACACCAAACCTTTTTTGAATAAATTTAACCTAAAATTGTATACATTTTCCAGAAATTAAACTCGGTTTTTGCTTTGAACTATTGGTATTTTTAATGGGTCAAGGAAACAATATTCTATACATCCTAAAAATATTGGAGCCTAAGAAATTTGGAATGCATTATATTTTCATTAAAGAATTGTGAACTTATAGGGAATCGAATGATTGAATTATTAACCTCACCAGCTTTACATGATTTATCAATAGAAGACGACTAATTTTCAGAGAAATTGTGTAATAATTTATTGTAGTCGCTTAGTTTTGCTGAAAATCTGGAAATTTTAGGTAGCAGGATATAAAACCACCTAATTTTTTTACACAACTGGATGTAAATTTCAACTTATTTTGTGATAAATCTTAACTTAATTTTATGTGGACTTAAAGTTTATTAAACAAGGCAGTTTTTTAAAAAGTGGGGTGTCTATATTATAGTTGGGTATTAAAAACAATCGCGAATAGTTCAAGATTTTTTTAAACAGAGAACTTAAATTAGTTTAGTCCGGCAAAGTCCGGCAAACTGTACCTATTTAATAAGATACTAAAAACTGGTAAATACTCATTTGCTTTCTACTTTGATCGTATGAAAATTTGATCACAAAATCGATAAAAAAAGGTGGCCTACAATTGTATTTGGCCGTTTGGGCTATATAACCTCATTATTTTGAAAATTTGGGAGTATATGTCCCGCCAAACGGCTCAATATTTTTGAAGGCCACCTTTTTTTCGATTTTGTGATCAAATTATCTAACGATCCAAGTTGAAAGCAAATGAGTATTTTCGTGTTTTTAGTACCTAATTAAATAGACGAAGTTTGACCCCCTCCAGATTGAAAACGTCCCAATTACAAGAGTTTTTGTAAATAAAATAGTTGTAGGTTACGATGAGATGAAACTATTTAGGAAGTTTCAGGTGGATCTTAATAATTCTATAAAAGGAAATCTGTACCACGGACTATTACTGTAAAGTAACTGTTAATTATTTTAATAAAACGTTATTTTAGTTAGATTGTTTTATATTTTCTAGTCAACAAAAAATTTGATTTACTAAAATAAAATACAAAACTAATAATTTTCTACAATTCTGCTGACTAATTTTCTACTAATCGGGCAGAAAATTGTTTATATAAACTTTTTTGTCGCTCTTGAAGTCGGCTTTCACCCCTTTAAATATTTCCCTAGACTTACAGTTAATGTTGCCCAAAATCACATAAAAATACCCAATAATAATTTTTTCGGAATGAATGAAAAATGATTTTTTTTTTAATGTTACCTAAGCCATCAAATTATTAGAAGCAATTTTAATAACACAAACACAATTCACCTATTATATGATTTGGCACGAACAAACATAATTCAAGAAATTTAGTCCTAATATGAACATGAAGCGATACTGTGAACTTAAGTACGAGAAATAAAGAACTCATTCGTGACAAATACAAGTAAAAACAATACGCTTTAAAATAAGCTATTAGACACACCTCTAACATCATTGGCTGTAAAATGGTTCGGTTACTTCAGCAAGTTTCAAAAATCTATATTAATTTTGACTAATCAAGTAAAAATTATTAAAAAAAATTAATTCTATTTATTTTAAGCCACTTTGCACCAAGTTTTAATTTGATAAACTTATTAACTACATGTTATTACAAAGTTTCGGCTCGTCAAGCCATTTCCAAGTCTGTAATTTTCATTTCTTATGCGAATTGCATGTGTGTACTCATAATAAAATGTCGATCTCATTTCTATTGATTGTCAACACTCGTGATTAATCAAAGATGTGCATTTTAATCAAGAGTGATCGATTTTATTATGAGTAGACAAATGTAATTCGCATAAGAAGTGAAATGGACAGACTTGAAAATGGCCCGACGAGCCGAAACGTGGTAATAAATGCTGTAGTCATTAAGATGATCAAATTAAAACTTGGCATAAAGTGGCTTAAAATAAATAGATTTAATTTTTTAAAATAATTTTTACTTGATTAGTCAAAATTAATATAGATTTTTGAAACTTGCTGAAGTAACCGAACCATTTTACAACCAATGGTGTTAGAGGTGTGTCTAATAGCTTATTTTAAAGCGTATTGTTTTTACTTGTATTTGTCACGAATGAGTTCTTTATTTCTCGTACCTAAGTTTGCAGTATCGTTTCATGTTCATGTCAGGACTAAATTTCTTGAATTACCATTGTTCGTGCCATATCATATAATAGATGAATTGTGTTTGTGTTATTAAAATCGCTTCTAATAATTTGATAGGCTTAGGTAACATTAAAAAAAAAAATCATTTTTCATTCAACCCGAAAAAATTATTATTGGGTATTTTTATGTTATCTTTAGTTTCGAAGAATACGCGAAATTGTTCATAATTTATATATATATATATATATATATATATATATATATATATATATATATATATATATATTTGGTGTCCCGTAAGTAGATAAATAATAATGAGATACATAAAGTTAGTCACTGATAAATACATTTTCAATTTCTATGACGAAGATCTGGGAGAAAAACAATTTCATAATCACTTTACGTGAAAAATCATTATTTTTAATTTTTTTATTTTTATAAATAAAATGTTTTTTAGGTAATTAAGTTTATTAAAATAAATCCCATATTATGAAAAATAAAGAAATAAAAGCTTTACAACGGTTGATTGTAGTCATTTTTGCAGAAAACACTAGTACTTTTAGGTACTTTAAAAAATCACATAACTTTTTTACACTGGAGGTGAATCTCAAATGTTTTTCTTATAAATCTCAACTTAATTAACATGAACTTAAAGTTTATTAAATTAGGTAGTTTTTCTAAAAGTGGGGCAAATGTTGAAAGGTGATGAAAAAAATAATAAATAATTTAGAACTTTTTTTAAAACGATACTTAGCTGAATTTGACCGCTCAATAATCCTCTATAAATGGTTTTAACAATGACAAACTCTATTTTCGTTGGAACAAAATTTTGTCTAGATTACTATGGAGCATTGTTTAATTACTTAAATCAAATATGAAATCGGGCAATTGTTAATATGAAATTTTTTGTAGATCTTGATGTTTAATATATATCAACCTGCTAAATATTTGCTTGATCACCCTATATACAATAACCATCTGTTAATTATTAACTAACTCTTAATATATCCTTTAACACCTCTAATATACAGAGTGTCTCGTAAGTCTAGGGAAATATTAATAGGAAATATAAAACAATATGACTAAAATAACGTTTAATTTAAATAAATAACAGTTGCTTTACAGTAATAGGCCGTGGTACAGAACCATAGTCATTAAGATGACTAAATTAAAAATTGGTGTAAAATGACTTAACATAAATAAATTGTAAACTAAATATTATGCACCGAAGTAGAAGGGAGAAATATTGAGATAATTAAATCTATTTAGTTGTTATAATTAATTAATGAATCTCATACATTAAAGTTACATTCTCTGGTGATTGCTCTAGAAAAATTGACTATTCCAATTCAAATTTTAGCTGTCACACGAAAATTTCATGAAACAAAATCTTTTTGAAAAATATATTTCATCTTTAATTTGGATAATGTTTTCTGAATCAAAACAATTTTGATAGATATCTATTTTTTTTTCTTTTTAAAAAAACATAATTTTCTAGGTTACTCACCTTTGTGTTGGGCAACTTGGGGTTTCTTTGAGGCTCCGGTAATTTGGAAGCATAAGTCCTTTTGGACAGACCTCCCAAAGACCTCTTGCAACTGTTACCAACGGCAAACATCTCGACACACCAATACACGAGTTCTTCACTACCACCCTAATATATATCACAGGTGGGGAAGACATGCATTATCCCCTCCACTTCTTGCACGAAGCCACTGAACGGATACTCACAAACGCTTCCTCTGGGGTTGTACCGATTCGACCTGTTTTATTTGTTGGAAGTTTATACAGAATCAATTTTTTTTTTTTTTTTTTGCTCCGTAAGATAAAATTCATTTCCAAAAAAATGAGTCCAGAGCACTTCTTTTTAAAATATTCTGACAGATGATTGCCTGTATCATTTTAGTCATTTATTTCCAATGTGAACCCTTTTCAGGAAATGTGATAAAGTATATTTTATATTCCAATCGTATTATTAAAACTGATATAAAAAAAAAAAAAATTAAATGGATTTTTTTTTTTTAAAGACGACTTTCGAAAGAATTAAACCCTATTTCTTAAAACTAATTTAAGCCCCAAAGCCCATTTTTCATATTTATATTTCTTAATATACCATAGTCCAGGAGCTGAGGCCAAAAAGATGATCTGATATGAAGAAAGTTTTTGACCGTCGATTCCGAAAGTTTTTTCACTATAGACCACAAATATGGGCGTCTGCACCCCTGGGTAGGATGCAATAAAATTGTATGGGTTGATGACTTTTTTCACTTTTTTCGGGTTTTCAACTACCCATCGCATCGACAAATAATTTCGATACAAAATTAAAGCTGATGAAATTTTCAATATGATTTGTTATATATATATATATACATATATATATTTTTTTTGCCTTAAGACGTGTCAAAGCAAGTCCTATTTAGCAAGTCCATTTTTTTTTTTTTTTTTTTTTTTGCTATCTCGCTTTGTTTTAGAGATAACCGTCCACAACTATAGCTAATATTGAAAAACAAAATTAATTCGTGTTTACTGCTGTTTTTCGAATTTCCGCTTATATCAGGACAACTATCCATCGCATCGAGAAAGACTTTCTATACAAAATTAAAGCTGATTAAATTTGTAATACGATTAGTTAAATTCATTTCCAAAAAAATGAGCTCAGAAAACTTCTTTTTAAAATATTCTGATAGAAGATTGTCTATTTAATTTTAGTCGTTTATTTCCAATGTGAACCCTTTTCATCTTTGAGAAATCTTCAGGAAACCTGAAAAACTATATTTTATATTCCAATCGTACAATTAAAAAAAATTAAATAAAAAAATATTTTTGAAATTCACTGCTTGTTTCAATAGTAATTAAATAAAGACGCTTTTCTAAAGAATTGAACCCCAAAAACTTTTTTTTTTTTTATTTATTTATTTATATTTTTTATTATATACATTACAACATGTCATACTGATAAGCTACATGTTTATGGTTGAATTAACCTTACACATGACATAATGGTGGTTTGAATACTACTTAGAAAATTGAAATTAATTTTTTTACAGTAGGAAAAATCTCATAAAAACCTACATAAGATGTAAATGAAAAAAACTAGGTTACAATCATTAAAAGTACAAGAAAAACTAAATATAATTTATGTGCAAAAGGAAACTATATATATATATATATATATTTACACATACAATACTTACTCACAAAACACACACAAACACACATATATATACATACACACACATATCCTATATATACAATTTGTTGATTGGGGTGATTGAGTTTATTGTTACTTGTTTGGCGATAGATAAGAAACCTTTAAATTTTCACAAATCAACTGATTGATTTAGACGTTTAGTAGTATGTGTTTAGTCCGTCTGTGTGTATACCGTTTCAAAGATGTTTTGTCATAGTTACCTATTGTTCGGATCATAGGGTTTTCAGATGTTGGTGTAAGCTCAAAAAATCTCTGTTTTAAAATAAATATATTTTTTTATTGTGGGAAGCTGTAATTCTGCTAGCATAATAGATACTTTGGTATAACGTGGATAGTTGTTTATGATTCTCATACACATATTTTGAATTACTTCGAGCTTTTTGTAATTAGTCTTGCATGTATAACTCCATACTGGGGCAGAATAAGTGATTAAAGGGCGGATTACTGTTTTATATAAAATTAGTTTATTTTTTGTATTCAGTTGTGAATATCTATTAAAATATGGTGACATTTTGCTGATCATGTTTTTTGCTTTATTGCACTTGTTGTTGATATGTTGGGTAAAATTTAGGGACCTATCAAGTTCTAGGCCTAAATATTTCACGGAATTGGACCAAGGAATCTGTACTTCTTTTATGTGTATATTGTGGTTTATGCGTGGTCTTCTTTTTGTAAAAATAATTGCTTTAGTTTTTTGATCATTTATTTTTATTTTCCATTTTTCAAAATACTTGCAGAGTTTTATGAATTGGGATTGTAATCTGTTAGTTATAGTATCGATTCTAAAAGAAGAGGTGTAAATAGCTGTATCATCCGCATATAAGGAGTATTCTATTGAAGGAATGGAAGGGAGGTCTGAGATGTATAGGTTGAATAGTGTAGGAGAAAGACAGGAGCCTTGAGGGAGACCTGCAGATAGGAAATACCCCAAAAAACTAATTTAAACCCCAAAGCCCATTTTTGACGTCTTTATATTTCTTAACATACCATAATCCGGGAGCTGAGAGAAAAAAGATGATCTGATATGAAAAAAGTTTTCGATCGTCCAAAACTATTCTCACTATAGACATCAAATATGAGCGCCTGCCTTCCTAGATAGGATGCAATAAAATTTTATGGGTCATGAAGGTCACTTTTTTTTCGGGTTTTCAGGAAAACTATCCATCGCATCGACAAAGATGCTATTTACAATTTTTTTTTCTCAAATTTTTAACTATATTTATGGAAAAATATTAATATCTGTCACAAATAAGGACATTTATAATAGTGTTCAGAGAGCACATTAACGCTCTATCAACAATAAATAATACAGACAAAACAATACTAAAAGTAAATGTATATAAACTAAACCGAACAAAAAAAAACTAAACTAATAAAAACAACTTCTCACATACACACACGCTTCTATACAATATCTAAAAAAAATAAAAATAAAAATTCATTCACCCATGATCTCCTAGCCAAGCCTTTCTCCCCACTCAAGGAAGGAAAGGCAGGATTCAGGAAGATCCCAGGGCCTCTAAATCAGACGCGTTACAGGTATTAAGAACCAGTAGAGGCTGATCAGAGGCGCTATAATCACACATATGCATGGCTTGAGAAGAGAATCTGGACATTACCAAAACTCCAATGTATACTTATTCACAAAAGGTCTCTGGGCCACTGCCGCTTCAACCTTCGAGGATGATTGTAGGTCTTGATGGTGCTGCAAAATAAAGCTGATAAAATTTGCAATATGATTTGATATAAATTTTTTTTGGCTTTAAGACTTGCCGAAGATACTCCTATTTAGCAAGTCATTTTTTTGGCTATCTTGCTTTGTTTCCGAATTTTTACTGTTTTTTACTACTAGTGTTTACTGATGTTTTTCGAGTTTTCGCTTACATGAGGACAACTATCCATCATATTGGCAAAGACGTTCTATATAAAATTAAAGCTGATAAAATTTGCAATACGATTAGTATTATACTTTCTTTTGCTATCTCGCTTTGTTTCCGAGATATCCGTCTTCAACTATGACTGTATAATAGCTAATACTAGTGTTACCCAAAATCGGTCTTGTCTTGCACGTTGCAAAAACCAAGACCAAGGCCACCTACCTGTTGCAAGACCAAGACCAGGACTGGTAAAAAAAATCGATTTTTTAAGTTAAAAATTATGGCAAAATAGTTACTAATACTCGACAATTTTAGTTACTATATGTTAATAATTGGTTTAACCAATATACTTTTACATTTAACTCCTCTAATTTTTCATTCGGGCTTTGTTAATTTTCTCCCTTCTGACTGCAAGACTGTTGCGATACTCTTGTGAAAGACCAAGACCGTGACCAAGACTGAGTTTGCAACACCAAGACTGGTCTCGGTCTCGCATTTGAGCAATACTACTTCGATTCCGATTATTATTATTTTTTTTTTGTAGGTAATTTAATTACCTTTCAAAAGTTTGTATATAAATTTTACCATAGAATATTGTATATAATAGATTGTATATAATATTAGTCCCCAATACATTTTGTTTTTCCCTATAATTTTTTTTCCTAAATTTTCTCGAGAATTTAGCTCATGTACGAAAATTGACAGGGTATTAATTAAAAAATTATTAGCAAGGTTCAAATTCAAATCGTTATAGCCGTTTTTTCACTACAGTCTACAGAAAAATACGTTTTTCTTTCATTGCGCAGGGAGCACTCGATTTGTCACAGGCATCAGCAGTCAAAAGACTAAAAAATAAAAAAAGAAGCAACAAAATCGGACCATCAGTTTCCAAGATAATCTTGGCCCAGACCAATGGCTGAAAGTGTGTTTTCCGGACTTAGTGTGTTCTGAAACGTATAGATCCGTCGATAATCGCACATCGGAAATTTTACTAGATCGCAATACTTTCCTTCTTACCTAGTTGCGATAGGAAAATAATAAGGGAGCGAGATAGCTAAGTGGTAGGGAGCGTGGATCGTCCCTGGAATGAAGAGACCTCCTGGGGCACACTCTGCCTTTTCAAAGCGTGTACACGTAATTAAGTGTGAAAGCCTGGTGGTGAGCATGATCTCGGTCGAATCATCTCCTTGCAGAACCGTTGACAAGAAATAGTATTTTCGTTAATTAGTACAGAACTCAAGACCATTCGTGGGTTGCAGTGGTACAGGTATAATTAAAAAAATACATTTAGTATTTTAATTTGTTCATTTAAATTATTTCCAAATGAATATAATGACATAAAAACACTTGTTGAGAAACTATTCACTGGTAGCACTCTAATAATATGTTTTGTATGTGGCTAAAGCTCTCTCGCTGGCTCAGCTGGCTTTAGAACCAGTGACGCGGTTGAGAGAGTAGATTAGGGATCTCTTGGAATCCTGCTTTTCCTTCTATAGGTAGGGGAGAAGCCTGGCATGGTGTTCCCTGCCTTATT